TTATCATAGCATTGCTAAAAATTACAGTTTTTTTTTGTTTTTTGTGATACTGATAATATACTAAGGGAAGATTGTAGGATCATATAATGACTCGAAAGAGAAAAGAGCGTGACTTCAGTATATTGAAGCACGATGAAGTATCGCACTTCGAAGTAATGAAGTCGCGCTTTTTGCCTCTTCGGTGACACCTCATTCTATTCAGGATTGTACTATTTTTAACATACTACTCTTAAAAAATAATATTCATACAGTCTTCTGAAGCCTCAGAAGTTCCGTATGTGGTTTTTCATAAACCATCCTCTGATAGTCCATCTATGAGATTTCAGTATAGAATATATTTGATAAAGAAATTCATTGACTATTCAAACCACTATTTCAATTTGAGTTAAATGTTTGATATCTTTATTTTAAAAAAAAAGCATAAAAAATAAGTTGATCTTATATTTTTGACCAGTACTGTATATTTAATGAAAATTCCCTTTAAAAATAAAGAAAAATAAATTTCATTTTTATTTTTTATCATTACAATGATCATTGATCACACTATTAAAAATAGAAGAAAAAAAACCAGTTACTACAAGAAAATAGAAAAAAACTACACACCGGAAATAAGTAGTTTACATTTTTAAAAATTCTGTTCGTGAATTTTAGGCAAAGGTTGTATACTAATACTTCGTCGAGGTGGTAATCGTGGTTGTGGATGATCGTTCTTATTATCATGTTCTATTTTAGGATAATAATTATTTTGCAATGAATCACGTGTTGGTCGTCGTGTTTTAGTATAAGATCGATCCTGGTGATTATAAACATGTAATATTGTATTTGATCGTTCTGAAGACAATCTTTCATTTTCTGAATTAACATCACATCGTGGTGGATCAATATTTGAACGATTTATTTTTACATCGTTAACTATTGAAATATTCATATAATTATTAGAAGTTAATTTCGATGGAAGATCTCCAAAATTTACGTATATAGGTGATTCTTGTAAAACTAAATATATAAATAGTTTTTTCATCTATAAATACTTAATTTGAAATTATCTTACCAACATCTAATCGATTAGTTTGTTTCAAATGTTGTTCTACACAACGATATATCAATAAATATTGTTCCTAAAAATAATAACTTTTATTATTTTCTATTAGATTTCAATTTTTAAATTACTTTTGTTTGAACCATTTTAACTCTTTGATGTCTTAATTGATATACAATACCCATAACATCAAGTTCGTACGTCATTAATTCATTATCAGGACGATCAAGTAGACGAACAATTGTATCTACTGTTAGGTAAGTACCTGTTCGACCAACACCGGCACTATGAAAAATGAAATCTATATATTTGATCTGGTATTTTATCATATTTCAAATATTTCTACCTGCAATGAACAACGATTGGTGTTGGTAATAAACTATTTGTTGTTCTATTACAAACTGAAGATGGTGATGATCCATGTTTATTGACTCTTTCAATTAGAGCAAGTAATTTTGTTGCTTCAATAACACTAAAGTCCGACCAGCCAGTATAATAATAATGAATAACATCATGTTTTACATCATACTTTAAATAAATTTTATTTGAATTAAAGAATAAAATTTAAAAAAAAACGATATTCTTTACGTGTCTTATAGATAAATGACGGATTTCCAGATTAGTATGAGAATAGTTTTCAATATGATTCACTTTTACAATAATATTAAGAAATTTTAATTGTTCACCCTTACCATTTGGAAAATAAGAATAACATTTCGACTAAAATATGCAAATAATTCAATTATAAACTCGATGAAAATTTAAATGAAGAACAAAAAAATGCGAAAATATCATAAAAGAATCTTAGCCTTCTTGACCGAGAATGGGTCCATGTGCTTGGCTATTTCTATTAATCATTTATCCTCTATTTAACAATTACTCAAATGACCATGTCTTTATCCATTACAAAAAGTTAACGAGGCATAGAATCACTCTATAGAAATAGGATAAAGAAATTTTTCCAAAAAGCTTGAAAGTTTTTAAATAAAATGTTTTTCACTTTTAGGGAGTAGACATTTTTGTTTTAGGGTTATTATTCGATATAGGTTGATGAAGAGGTCTACTAGTGATTAATATACAATCTTCAAAAGTTCCACGATAGTTTGGTGTATTACAAAGAATAAGACGCAAAATGGATCATGTTGCCATGATTTGACATCGAGAACGAATAAGAATAAAGTTAATATATTTATTATGAATGTCATCATATGAAAAATTCAAAGAATATTTATTCGAAATAAATTATCTTCAGTGTTTATGGAATCTCTTAAAGAAAACAAAGAAAAAAAATCAAGATTTTACATATCTTCCTTCTCTTCGACATGATCCCTGGAGTAGCCATTAAGAGCAGAAAATCTGATAGATTCTTAGTATATTGGAGAGATTAATATTCTATTTATTTTATTAGTGGATCTTCCGAAAACTACTCTGAGAAAGTAAAGACTTAAGAAGAATACAGATAAGATTTGTTTGTTTTTTGCAACGAAAACTTTCTATTTAGAAAATAGTTATTTACGTGCCCGATTTCGTTCTTCAAATTTAGTTAACATCACAATTTTGGGTACTTTGTATTGAATAATCATATCCCAAAAATCTTGACATGTATCTTCTAATGGACCTTGACATGCAATATATGTTCTTTTTTTATCAAAACTCTATAAGGTTAAAAAAGAAAAAATTTATTCGAAATATATATATTTAAATAAATAATTTACTGTGATTTTATTTGCATTAATATAATCATGCGAACGATGTTGACCTGTTAAACAAACTGCTGTTTGTTCCCCTATAATAATAAACAAAAAAAAGAGCTTGAAAGATTTTTTTCTCTGAATGCCTTTCCATACATGTTCCACGAGCTGGAATATTTTTGTAACGATCATAAACAGCCAATTTCGGATCATAATCTGATTTATGATATTGAGGAGAAATTCTTTCTAATTCCTAAATTCAACAAAATAAGAAAAATATAAATTAGAAAAAATCTGTGTATATATGTTAACCGACCTTGAATTCATCATATATTTCATTTTCAACTTCTTGATTTATGTGTAAATACTCAATAAGTAATTTTGGTCTAGATAAAATAAAAATAAAAATTTTCATATTCAACAATTGTTAATTCACCTCATTGTTTTAGAGATAGAATTTAATGGAACTGATTCATTACTAGAACTAAAGAGGATTCACATTTAAAAACATTAATTTCTTTTCAAAGTTATTCTTTTTACTCTGAACTAATCGACGATCTACAAAAAAAAAACAAGAAAATAAATAAGTAATTACAATTACTTTGAAGAAATTTTTCATTTTTAATCAAATTACTGTCTATCCGAGTTTATGATTTCAAGGTATAAACTTTTAATATGTTTTCGTTGCCATGTAATGAAAATTGCAACAATCAATACAACTAATATAGGAATTATAATAAACCATATTATTGCTTTTGATGAATTTTGGGGTTGAATTTGAACTAAAATAAAGATATAATTTGAACAAAACAAAAAAAAATATTGATTATGAAAATAACTTACTCTTCGTCTGAAATGATTTTGAAAGTGCAGAACTACAACCTACTTTCGTACAAGCATTAACAATAATTCTATTTATTAATCATAATAAAATAAATAATTTCAAATATGAATAAATAAATTTTACTTGTAAGTAGTATCTGCTTTCAATTTTCCATTACACGGAATATTTTCATTAGAATCATTTCGACATGTGTCATTACCAATTATTAAACGAAGTTTATTATCATCTGTTAGAACTACACTAGCAGAAAAATAAAATTAAGAAAAAAAAAGAACTTGTCAATGCAATCTCTTTGAGGCTGAAATGTGGAACTCACATATGTTCTTTAACCTGATTATATTAATACAAAATACGCTAAGTGAAAAATTCCTAGCAGACTATTTTTATCTTCTAAGGATAACTGATCTATCTGCATTTCGAATAGAAATTTTTTCTGCTTTCTAAAAATGAATTTTACATAAAATTAGTATATGACGCCCTAAGTTTAAATTTCGAGGAAGGCTTTGGAATTTTCTGGAATAATCTAAGTCTTATTGTCACTGCCAATCAACATTCTGGGAAAGGAGTCTAATGCTTATTATCCTCGGTTGCTTACTATTTTCTTCGAAAATAGATGTGAGTTTCACAAAACAAAAAAATAATCAATTATTAATGAATGTATATAAGAATAAGATGATTCTACTAAATATTTACAAGAATTATTTGGCGGTGATATTGTAATATTAAAAGCCAAATAATCAATTGAATTATTTTTTAAAGCAGCATAATATGTTCCGATCAAATCTGGTTCCGACGTATTCTTACGTAGATCTAGACAATAAAATTAAAAAAAAAATATCATCAGAAGAATATGTTAATAACAATCTGTTATAAAAGCTTACCTTGACGTATATAAATCCGATAGTAATATATGATTCCATTATCATTTGAAAATAATGATGGATCTATTTCAATGACATATTGTTCACTTTGCGATTGTGTATCATTGTCTATTGGAAGTATTTTATTTATTGTGTCATCATCAGTTGGTTTTTCGGGTGCTGAATAAAATTAAATAAAAATTAAATGTAATCATTAATAAAAATTTGTACCATCCTCTAATGTTTTTACAAACAAACGTTGAGAAGAACGTATATGCTTTGAATTAAGTAGTAGACGAAATTTATATCTACATATATAAATAAAAAAAATATTAATTTAAACAAATATGAGCAAAGAAGAATAAAAAAAACTTACTGTCGATTAGGTAAAAGTTCTTTCCATGTATATGAAAATGTTGTTTTACTGAGATTAACAGATTGAGTTTGATTTAGAAGTAATTCAAAACATTCAACATATGCTGGTTGACTTATTGCCCACTTAACTGTTATGGATCGAGATGTTTTGCTATTTAAACTTAAATTTGGTGTTGGAGGAACTAAAATAATTACGATAGAAAAATTTTTTATTTATTTAAATATTTCAAATTCTTACAAATATCCATTGTAAAATTTTTGGAAAATTTATTGCTATAATTCGATTTTTTAGTAATAAAATAACATTGATAATTACATCCAAGATTACCATCATTTTCAAGTGTTGTTATACATTGATTATGTTCTTTTGCCAAATTTTGACATGGATATATATTATTTTCAGTAATACAAATTGATTCAAGACGATCAAAATCACTTTGTTGAGTTACATTAAAAACAAATTTAGTTGTATTTGAGAACCATTTTTCTCCTTCTTTTTCATAAAGTACTGGTTCAAGATCTAAGATTAAAAAAATAATCAAAACATGAACAAAATCAATTGATAATGATTATGATCATATTCATTTACCGGTTCTGAAAGAGAATTGATCAGATGTTACATTTATGAAATTTTCTTTAATAGTTATTGCTTGACATTGGTATGAAACTCCTCTTATTATAGGAGAAATCGTAATAGAATCACACTCAGAACAATTTCCAGTTGTATTCGTTAATATACTTATATTATTTGAACAATGTTGATCTTGTGTAGAACAATTTAAATAAATTTCATCGAAATTTCCACGTGGATGATTAAAATAAATTTGTGCTGTTTTTCTATCTTGATAATCATCTTTAAACGTGAAGTTTGTTACTTTATCAAGATCTTAAATGATAAGAAATTTTAGAGGAAAAAGAAATGTTTTTTCTTTTAATGATTACTTGTTTGAAATTCTTTATAAAGATTTTCTTCTGGAAAAAAATTCTTATCTTCATCTGCTATTGGAATAGGTAATCGAACTAATGATAAATTATATATTGAACCGAATTGAATATTAGAACATGTATATGTACAATTCTCTGAAAGTGTCCCATTTGAATCACTACAACGAAATATAAGATATTCTATATCACTTATATCTGCACAATTTGGTATAAAGATTAATGCTGATGTTAAATTTTTATCAATCATTACATCAATATATGTTGATGTATTAAGAGATAAAGGTTCTAACGTAACGATAAATATTTCATTGAAAATAATTTGGTTATGAAAAAATTTAGAACCAATATTGAATGTCCAATCTCGACCAGCTTTATTCATAATATTTTCACAAGTAACATTAATAATAGTATCATCCATATTATGTGGTATGTCTTCAGTAACAAAACAATTTTCTACAACTGATTCACTGACAAAGACAAATAATTCAGATGAATTTATCGATGAACAATTATTATAAGTAATAAGAGCTGTAAACATAGATGAAGTTCGATTTTTAACAACGATATCATTAGATCTATTAAAATCACAAGTCTTCACTAAAAACAAACAAAGAATTACAATCAGTTTTTTTATTTTATAAATAAATTATATATTTACGAGGAGATGTTGTATATGTTTCAATATGGGTGACTGTCAAAAATGTACTTTCTATTGTAGTTTCATTAGTCAATATATTTGAAAATGCTGGATTACCGTTGTTAGCCACATTAGATTTACTATTAATTAACGTGTTATTCGTCCTTTCGTAATTATTATCTAAAAACAATTTAAAATATTCTTTAAGATAAAAAGAAAAACGAGAGGTCTCAAAATGGGTATGACTCACTGCCAATAGAATTATATGTATCATTCGACATAAAAGTCGTTGTTGTTTCTATAGAAAGAGACTCAACACGGTTTGAATTTCGTGAAAAACTTGTTGTTTGGCCATTGATACATTTGATTATCTGCATAGATATAAATTTTAATTAACATTAATCAATTCATTTTTTTTTCTTACCAATAGAAAAACTGGAATTAAATAGTACACTCGACAACTTGATATATGCATAAGAACTTCTATTTGACTGAAGCAGTTATTATAATAGGTGTTGTGATGTAATAAACTTTTGCATGAGAACAAGTAGAATTATAGAAGAAAAATTGTTGACGAGTGACAGAATTTGATGATTCAAAAAGAATGAGGTGCAACGTTTTAGAAGGTGTGCTATTGAAGACAGTCTTTACATTTACCTGTATACATAACATATCTTTCATCGTATGATAATGAGAATTACCTTTTTCTTTTTTTAATAAACAGAACAGGAAAAAAAAATTTAATATCCACCATAGACAATATCAGAATAGTAACAACTTACATTGAATCATTTTTTAAACAAAGAAAAGAAAAAACAATAGAATATCAGTAGTCATTCTTCTATGTTACCTTTTTCTTTTTCTAATCAAAGGAAATTCATGATAATAACTATTTGTTTATCTCGTTTTTTTTTCTTCAAGTATCAGTTAACATCTTTTTTTTTTCTTTTATAGACATTTATATAAGATTACTAATAGATTGTATTGTGTCCATTAAATAAAAGTCAAAAGAAAAACTAGGTGTTAATATACATTAACTAATCTTTTCAAGTAAATCAAATAATTCTTGTGCTTCATAAACATGTCATTTCGATCTTAATCAGTCATATAATAATAAACAACAACGATAATCATTATAATTGTTAAAGAAATTTTCTTATGAAATCAACTTGACAAAAAAAAAATTTTTTTTGATAATTTGTTTAGCAAATAAATTCTAAATTTCAAGTTGAAATTTATCAAACTATTCAATATGATTTAGTTTAATAATTATTCTTTGAAATGTTATTCTTCCACGATTTTTTTTCTAACGAAAAATTTCAATTAATTGCTCATTCGAAAAAAAAAAGATTTTCAGTATAGTCCCTTTGAGGCAAAAATGTGGAACTCGTTCTTAAACCTCAATACAAAATACATCAAGTGAAAAATCTCTAACAGACAATAGTTGTTTTTCAAGGATGATCACTTGCCAGAGAACTGATCTGTCGCATTTATTTGTAAATTTTGAACAGAAATTTTTTCTCTTTTTTATTGGTGCTCTATTTTTTGTTTGCCTTGTTGATATTCGCTCGTCGTTTTTCATTTCTATTTTTCTTAATTTAACATTATTATTATTCCAACCATCTGAAAAATAAATCTGCCATACATACCATTATATCTACAACATGTCTCAATGTATTATTTATCTCGATAAGCTCACAAACACTGGTGTTAATTATTTCCCAAAAGTTATAGCTTGATCAATTAACACTTTTTATGTTGATCACATGATGGCTGTTGCAAATCAATATATCATTACTCATGATCAATTCTATCTGAGCAAAAATCAAAAAGTGCACTATTTCGGATATTCGCAAAAGTATTTCAGCCATTCAAATTTCGAGAAAGACTTTGGACTTTTCTAGAATAGTCTATGTTATGTCGTTGTAGCCAGCGAGCGTCTTTTTCGTTGCTAAGAAAGTCGGAGAAAGGAATCTGATGCCTGTTGTCTTCGGTTGCTAGGGCGTAGGAGAGAGCGAGAGCCGCAGAAATCTCGATTTAAATTTACACTCACTATGTTCTTCAAAAATATATGTGAATTTCACAAAAGAACATATTATTACGAGTTCTTAAGGAATTTTAGTTATTTTTATTTTTTATTCAAATATATTCGTTTAGAAATGATTAAATCAATAATAATGAGGGAAAAAGTTCTAGATTATAACTAACTAAATTATAAAAAGATGTGTTTCATGGACAGTGATCGATATGAATTTAATCGTAAAAAACAAAACAAACTATAAACATAATTGAATTCTTTGTTTAAAATAGTTTCAAAAATATTTGACTAAAAATATTATTGTAAAATTCTTAACAAAAAATTTATTCACTGATTATTGTAAAACAAACTCATAGATCGAATTAGTTTCGAGTTCAGAATAAACCGGAATAGATTAATTCTAATTAACAGAACATTACATCTTATTAAGAATTATGAAGGAAATTTGTTTTATATTCTTCTCCGTAAATTTATTATAAATAAAACTCTATTTTTTAGTTCAAAAATAACGTTGACCCGTAATTTTTAGCACGAATATCTTCGCACACAATATTCATACATTTTTTGGTTACTAAAAGGTAACTGATTAGAGCCAGAAGCAGCTAATTGGAATGTTATTTTCTAATGTATGTTCAGATTTTCCTTCTGAAGTAAGATTGAATAACTATGAGGGAAACTTTGTGAAAAAGTTCAAAATTGTGTCTGCACAAAGCAAAATAACAGTTTTGCCGCAATCCTCAGTTTGCGTTTTGGAACAGATTCAGCTTAACATCATCGTAGGGCACTGAATTCTGTACAAAATGGGATATTACAATAAGCAAAATCTTATCTATGAATTTTCACTAAATAGCTAGTTTCTTTAACGATTGACATTAGTCAAAATGTCGCTGGTTCAAATAACAAAATTTTTAAAATCTTTCATGCACGATAAAACAAAAAAAAGTAAATATGTTCTGCAAAACTGAGCTATTACAAACTATTTCGCATTTTGAATTTGATAGGTTTCAACCGAAATACAGAATTGACTAAAATAGTATTCTCTATACAACCACTATTTTGAAATAGTATGATGATAGTTGTTTAACCTGAGCTCTGAAGAAAATTCGGAACATATAACCAAGCAGAGTTGAAAAGTTTGATTGTAAATAACTGCTTATGTCTATAACCATTTTCTTTACTATTTAATCAATATGTTAGTATCATTTAGACAATGTTAATCTTATATGATTATAAAATATATTTTGTTAGTTGTCTTCAAAAATCAAATTATTTTCTTGGTTAAAATCTAAAAATGACGATAAAAACACAAAGTTATATTTCGATTTTTCATTATTTATTAATGAAATTTGATTGAAACTATATTGTTTAATTGTATTATTAATCTCATCTTCTATATTGTCTCTTATTAAACTAAATAATTGAACAAATATACATATCGAAACAGTTTCATTGATAGAAAAGATATTTTACATGACATATTTATGTCAAATTCTCATCAACTCTTATGATCATACTCGTCCAATTAAAAGAGATAAACTTCGTAAAATAATAATATATCTTTCATTGAGAATAATTTGATGAAAACAATCAGATTGATAGATATTTCTAGTTGAATATTTATTATTTACATATACTAAAACAAGTCCTATTAATATTATCAGTATTTACATTTAAATAGAGAATAATCTACGATGCATCAATATCTACACAAATGTCGAGGTATGCTATGTTCGAACGAAAAATGCTAGAAGCCTTACTATTTCATTTACAAATAGTGACAAAGTATATACTTTAAAATCCATATTCAAAATAAAAATTTACGAATTAGTTTAAGACATTAAATTTTAATGTTTTCAAAACCGATAGAAGACAGATTGTTACAAAGGTAAAATAAGGAATTCTTTCATATCTTAGCTATGTGTTTGTTTAAATACTTGCCCACGGGATATAATTTTTGAGTAGCTGTAATTGGAAAAAAGTTTACGTCAAATGAATACAATCCTTACGCGTCACTAAAGCCTCTATTTACGTCGAAATTAGTGCCAAGTGCAAGTTTTGTTCGACCATTTCTGAACTCAATTAAAGAGCTCCGGGTCCACAAAAATGTGGACTAGACTCGAACTTGACAATGATTTTGTACCCGCAGCTCCTCAAGCTCAATACAATGTACTTTTCTAACGTTTTTACCTTGGTAACAAGCCATTTTGAGTGGTTTTAAAAACATTAAAATTTAAAATGTCTTACACTACCATCTAAATTTTATTCTGAATATGCATTTCAAAGTACATACTTGCCTCTATTAATGAGTGAAAAAGCTGAGCTTCCAGCATTTCCTGTTTGAATACAGCGCATCTCGAACATCTGTGTGGATATTTATGCATCATAGGTTATATGAGCAATTTCATTTGTTAGTGACGTGATTTTACAAAATAAAAATTCTTATATATCTGAGCTCGAAAATCTCTTTTGAATATTTTTTTAATTTAACAGATGTATGTTGAATTATTCTAGACATCCTGAAAAACTCAGTTCTATAGACCTTTATTCTTTCGAGTTATTATTGAAAAACTAGTTTTAGCGACGTGACGCAAAAAAAAATGGCCAAGGTTTTCATTGCATGAGTTTTCTATTGACACATCCTGCAAATTCAAACAGTATTTTTGAAAACTAAATAATGCGTTCTGTAGAGAACTCTTCAGATTAGAAAATCTCTGTGATAAGTTCTTTCTGAATATACTTAAGTTTTTCAGAAAATTGAGTTTATGCATCGTCGGCAACATCAGTAAATAGGAATAAAGGAACGGAAAATTCTCTTGTAAATGAATGAGAATTCCCAAAAACAAATTCTAGATGGGACAGGGTCTTCTTGGTCATTGCGAGATGATATCAAAACAAAAGGTCTCGTTTTGGAACAAGATTAGACCTCTGGAAAACCGGTTTTGGGAAAGCAATTTTTTCGAGTCTGATCTTGGTGGAAATTTCACCATCATAAAATTAGAGAATTATTCGCTAATTACATTTTAGTTAGATCTACGATGAAAGAGTCAATATTTTTACATATATTCATGGGAAAAGAACGTATTCAAAAAGTAGCAATCATAAAGAATCAAAGTCAAACCGATAATGATCACGTCTCATTTTTGCTGATTGTGTCCATATCTTCAATTTCAATTAATAGTCTTCTCATCATAGTGACTCTTTTTGTTTTTTTCATACTCTATCGAAAGTCGTCATTGATATGACAATTGTTTATTTATATTACAGCTGTGAAGAGTACATTAGGTTCAGGATAAGAGAAAAGTGCACTTGGGCTTGCAGGTGAATTATATCCTACTGTACCTTGAGCATCAGGTAGACTTATTTATTATGAGAAAAATATTAAATAGACAATAGGAAAGAAATTTTTTTGATACAGGATGCACGACTACGCTTACTTTGTGCATCTCTTATCTATATTTCATTGACAAACAGAAATAAATTGGCTCATATTTGACATGTTCAATACAGGATAAATCACATTGATATTGGAAAATCTTTCTGGATCATACATCTCCACTGAAAATAACAACAAAAACCTGTTAGAATAAAGTATGTTTTTGCATAGATAAATCGTACGTATAACTACGTGATGTTGTATGTTTAAGAAAATTTCGAATTTCCTTTAATTGTACAATGGAAATTGCTTTAAATAATGTTGATTATTGAATATTTGTCCAATAAGATTTATGTCGATCTAATTTTTTTTGATTTTAATAATAAAAATTTTCATGAATTGAGTCCATATTTAATCTAGAAACAATTTTTTCAATTACATAAGATAAAGTTTGGTATATTTTATCTAATTGAAAATAAATAACAAAAAATATAGAAGAATGTTCTCACAAATAAAATTAATATAGAAATTTTCCAAATAAATGAAAATCTTCTTTTATTTCCTTATAATGTGTACATTTGTCCTTGACACTTGTGACAATATGGAAACTAACTACTTTGTATATAAAAAGAAAAAAAACTAGGTGAAGTTGATAGCAATCAAAAATAGCATATCACTACATTAAGAGACACATGGCATGTTAAGCAAACATAAAATAGATATCAGTTCGAACTTTAGAATTTTTGTATTTTTTTTTTCATCTGATGACTATGAATAATTCAGATATAAATATAATAAATCTTTGAAAATAAACAGATTTTTACAAGTCAAATAGAAATTTATTCATCCTTCATATGGAATTCTATTTGATTTTGCTACAAAAATATCGAATGAGTACAATCAATATATTATTTCACACAATTGAGTAAAGACTTAAAAGAAAAAAAAATTGATTGAAAAATTCAATGAAATTTTTTTTTTAACATAATCAAAATAATTTTCTATCGATTTATTGTTAATTATTTTTGTATTGATTGGCGAGCATCTAAATAATCATAATGTTGTTGAACATAATCATATTCATGTTCATCTATGAATTCTTGTTCATTTTCAATTCTTTCTGATATATTTTTATTCATGTCTTCATTTTTTACATGATCAATTATTGATGAGGAATCGATTTTTGAATTATCTTTTGATTCAGATAAATCTATATAACGACGTTCACGAAGTTTTGGCAATCGATCTGCAATTGTTTCATAATTATTGGATTCCTTTATTACTAAAATGAAAATAAAATTCTTCAATATAATTTAAATAAAATTTTCTTACTTAAATCTAATCGATTTGTTTTTCTTAAATATTCTTCTACATAATGATGAATCAATAAATATTGTTGCTACAAAATGTTATTTAAAAAAAAAACTAAATTAATATCGTATATAAAGACATACTTCTGTTTGTACCATTTTTGCTCTATCATGTTTTAATTGATTAACAATCCCCATAACATCAAGTTTCATTGTTTTTAATTGTTGATTAGACTGATCAAGTAAATGAGTTATAATATCAACGGCAATATAAGTTCCTGTTCGACCAGTACCTGAACTGAATAAAAATTTTAAAAAAAATATGAATTTCCATCAGCATTATGATTGATCTTTGTACACTTGAAATACTGATTCGTATGCATGTTTACTTATTCTTCAGTGGACAGACTCGACAAATTTTAGTAAAAAACTCGATGTGAAATTTTAGAATGATGTGGAAAGATTGAAAGAAAAAATGTCGATACTCGTTAGTATCGAAAAAAAGTGATGTGTTTAGTAAACGCTGACTTTAGATGTTCATAGTCTATTATTATGCTTTTCTCATTATACTGTCTGTAACCAGTAGTAACAGTGATAAATAATACCTGATAGAGTTTAACTAAAATAGTCGGACAAATAACTACTATACAACTAAAAGTTTATCATCATGAGCACAGCTACTTCATCTTCTTCAAATGTGTAGATCAGTTATCATCGCCAGTTATTTCATTTATTAGTTCACAAAAAAAGAAGATCTTTGCTCTTATCAGATGATCATATTTGAAAATTGAATAAAACTACGAAATATTGAAAATATACACATAATAGGTCGTGATAAGTTTTGTTTTTTTGTTCTTGACTTCTTTATGATCTCTGTTAGAATGTTAGTATTATCCCACACAATAAAGAATGTCTCTTGCGCTAGTCAGTATTTTCTATGACATTTTTCGATCTTTCTACGTGCAACCAAAATTTTGATGAACTAAATAAGAAAATCGAGCGATATTAGATGTTTTTGACATAGCTTCAAATTTGATGTCAATTACAAAAAAAAGAACGTAACGAAAATCACTTTTAGTAATGAGAAAATCTTGTCGAATGGTAGACAGTGTTTTCAAGAGAGTATATGTTACTTTGTAGAGTTCGATATGAATAGAAGAACTATAAAAGTATTCCTTTTCACAAGTTGTTTTTTTTTTCTTTTTGTTGAATATTTTATTTATGGTGCATATTTAACTAAAAGTCTTGAAATATCCATTGGAAAAATTTAAAAGAACATTTTGTCTTTGTGATATTGATCGTTGATAGTACTCCACTTGCTGAATATTTTCATGCTTATTTTTTACAGATTTTTCAATATCGTGAAAATGAAATATTCTAATGATCATAAGAGTTATCTGTAGACGAAATTCCGTAATTTTTATGTGTAATTTCTAGTCTAATTATAATCTAATCTTTAAAGAAAATGCAGCATGTATAAATCTGAAAAATGCGTATTGTATTTGATGTAAATTTCAAATCTTTTGTACCTGCAATGAACAACAATAGGTGATGATAAATTAATTGATTCTTCATCATATTGATTGACTATTTCAGTTAAATCAATTAGAGTTCGACAATTGATAATACCATACTTTGGCCAATCGGTAAAAAAGAAATGAACAATATTATATTGTTTGTTATTCTTAATAGAAGTGATTTTTTTTACATTAAAAACTGAATATTTAAATAGAATGTTTTACTTTTTCAACAAATAAACGACGAATTTCAAGTTGATTATCAAGATAATATTCAATATTATTAACTTTAATTTTAATTCTATTAAAATCTAATGTTTCATTTTTATTCATTGGAATATATGGATAACATTGACTCTATTATTAATAAAAAATAATTAACAAATTTTTTTTTTTCATAGATGCAATGGCTAACGATATTATTCAACAAGATTTAATTTCTTTCTTTTCTCCGCTACTTTAAACATTGAAAAGAATCGACATAATGATTCAAATATGCTAAATTTCCAAACAAGCAAAACATCAGTTTTCCAGCACTTATAAAATGCAAATATAATTTAGTTAAGACTACATGCAACGATAGACTAAATCATCGTCTACAAAAATGAGGTGTCTCTAGAGAGCATCGGATTGGATTTGCCTTTGAAATTTTGGACCCAACGCGGTCTAGATGTCTTTTATTGATCGTATACAACTCGCAAACATATCTTTTTGTAGACGCTGATTTACACTATTGTTTCGTGTAGTCTTAACTAAATTAATTTTGCGCTTCGATTGAAACGTACTAAAACGAAACTTTTTTTCCTCTTTCAAACCGTATACAAATTATTTTTATCACACATTCATGCACGAAATGATGCAATAGAATAGAGAAGCACTAGAAAAATAACAGTAAAAATATGAATCCTTATATCTCCTTAGCAAACACGTGTCGAAAGGAGAATGTTTCATATCAACTTATAGGAGATTTTCTCCTTGTTTGAGTTCTCTATAATTTAATTTTATTATACACTCATCAACAAAATGATCAAATCGTGATTTTTGGTTCAAATTTCTTTTTAGTTTTTAAATTTAATATCAGATTGTTGATTGATTAACTTTGAAATGTTTGACTTATTTACACTGACTGATATCATAATAATTATTAATAGACTTCATAAAATGTTTTAAATTTTGATTAGAAAATTTCACTGGACGATCATTTCTTAGTAAAAAATTTATTTATTCAATATATTATAAATCGTTTTTCTTGGAATATCTTGCTTCTTAAAATAACGATCTATTTTTTTACACAGTTTATCTGATAAATCAACTCAAGTCAAACAAGCACGGTTGTAAACGACTGTATACGGAGAAAAAAAAACCGCTCGTTTATTGTCTTCTTACAAAGAAGCTGTAAAACGGTCACAGAGGTATATACGATTGTAATACGGTAAGATTTGTTGTATACGGATTCCACATTCGTCGAGTTGGGAATATAAAAATTGCAAATTTGTTGTGCAAGTATTTCTCTTTCTTCTTGTGTCATTTTGTTTATGAATGTGTAACAAAATTAAGTTACATCGAGTTCAAACGAGGAGAAAAGTTTTCATCAACTGGTAAAAAGATACTTGTGTCAACATATGTTTATTAAAGAGATATAAGGTTTGAGATTTTTTATTGTTATTTTGCATTATATGAAAAATGTTAGCTCATTTTTTATGGTGCTTCTCTTTACTCTTGCTTCATTTCATTCATGAATGTCTGAGAAAAAAGTTCTCTTTCAGTACTCTTCGATCAAAGGAAAAAAAGGAGTCGATATTTATCCAATTACTTTTACATTATTTGTTATATAATATATATTTCTCTACTTGGATTCTTTAGTGAAAACAATTTGTTGAATAATTTTGTCAGGCACTGTAAATGAAAATTACTGTTGAGGAAGGATCTTGTGAATTTTCTCGTTCTAATTCATTTAACATAACAATTTTTTTAATGCTATATTGAATAATCATATCCCAAAAATCTTCACATGTACTTTTTAATGGACTTTGACAAGCAATATATTGTTTGAGACTATTTGCACCCTATAAAAAACATTTATAATTTATGTTGTTTTTTCTTGTAATGATTAGAAATAGTTTAATTTTACTCGAATTTCATTTGCATTAATATAATCATGTTTACGATGAATATCAGTTAAATGAACGGCAGTTTCTTTCCCTTTTAACAAATATATTTTTAGAATTTTTCTAAGAAGATAATTTCCTTACATGGGCCTCGACTTGGAATATCCTCATATCGATCAAAAGGTGAAGAAGGTATCGATTGATTAGAATCTGGAGCTAAATTTTTAAAGTCCTATTACAATTGAATATAATCAATTGTTTTTTTTTTCTAGATAAGTAAAGCAAATGATAACTGACTTGAAATTCATTATTTATAATTGTTTTATCTTCATCTGTTAAATTTATATATTGAATTAAAGGTTTCGGTCTGAAATATAAATAATATTCGAAGAAAATTTAAATTTATTTCATATCAAACTTAATTTCTTGAAAATTATTTTCATATAATGATATTAGTGCTAGGCTATTAAAGAAACAATTCATTTTAAAAAGAAATAATCTAATTAAACCAATATTTATTCACTTACGGTTGTAAATAAACAGTCTTTAGAGTATTATCTTCTCTAAGAAGAAAAAAATCAATAATACATTTTAAAATGAATAAATAACATTTTTCATTTACTTTTTTTGTTTTTTAAAACAATATCTTTTTAATTCTTGTCGTTTCCATATCATTACAACAATACTAGGAATCAAAAGAGCTAAAATAGGAAATACAGCAATCCATGCTATTGATGATAACCTAGATATTTCTTCAATGAATCAGACTAATATTTTTATCATAGATTAAGAAAATTTCCTATTAACTTTTTGTTTGAAACTCTCTTGAAAGTACAAAAGTACAGCCGTCATTTGTACAACCACCAACCATAATTCTATGAATAATTATTTTTAAATAAAAGATCAAATAAAAAAATGAATAAACTTACTTATAAATTCGATTTGATTTGAGTTTGCCATTACATGGAATAAAAGGATTATAATTCTGCGAACACCATGTTTCTTCACCAATTATTATACGAACTTTATTATTATGTATTTGAACTGTACTAACTGAAAAATAAATGTAGATAAATTCTAATCTATCGTCTAGACCAATACATACGGTTGTTTAGAGAAATACTTTTAGCTAAATAATCCATTGAAGAATTTTTCAAAGCTTCATCATATGTTCCAACAAAATCTGGATCAGTTTGAAAGTTATTTTGATCTAAGAAATATTTTTATTTCGATTATAAAATGAAATGATAAAGTATTTTCACCTTGACGTACGTAGATAACATAATCCGAAACGATACCATATTCATTAGAAAATAATGATAGATCAATTTCAATTACATGTTGTTCAGTTATTGATTCATCATCATTATCTTTTGGAATAATTTTTGTTTGAATTTCGTAATCAGTCGGTCTTGGAGGTGCTGTGAAGACAAAATAAAAGGTGAAATCAAAACGTACTATATATTTATTTATAATTGAAGATATTTGTTAATGTCGTTTTATAGCACTCATCAAGTATTATAATATATAAAAATGACAGGCATCAATAATGTTCGCAAATGGTTTTGAAAGATTTCTAAAAAATCGGCGGAGCCTTTTGCATCAACTCCAATAGTAGTAGTATTACTCATAATTATGAAAAATATGTTACTACTACTTCAAGATTTGTTTACAAGTTCTGACTGTTAATTGATATTAGTCGTTTTAATACCTGCAGAACGTAATTTTGCCGAATTTTGTAATGGTCCTGTTAATGTTTCATTGATATGTATTAGAATCTGAATATGAAATATTTTTCTTTTATAATCAAAATGTTATTATAATACGATAATTGTCTTACTAAGATCAAAACGAAGAGTAGATTGCATAATGTCAAATTGATCACAGACATGAAAAGGTTATCTGATTGTCGATGTTATTCAATTGTGAATGATTATTACATTACTTTTATGACTTTTCAAAAGGTATTATCAAATATATTGGCGAGCGACGACAGTCAACCAATAAAAATATCAGACACCAGTTTGTTAAGTTTTATATTTAAGAGAAATCTTCCTTTTGCTTGTCTTGATTTCTGTTACATTCTGGAAGATAATAAAACAAAGTAAAAGGAAAAGACGGCTGTTTCGAGCCGTAAAAAAGCTAAAACTACTAACAATAAAAAAAAAAATAAGAACTGTTAAATATTGACATAGGTGCTTTTTTCGTATGAAATTTATATGAATAAGGAGTAGTGAAATATGATTTTGTTTTTGAATAAAAACAAAGTCATGATTGTAACCGCATTTTACTTATTGTCTCGTTGTCAGATTGTCATTCATGTCCGGTGAAGTATATTTTCAAACAAAATAAAACAATTAATCTCAGAATCTGGATAATAAAAGTGTGGTTTTTGTTTTTAAATTGTAACCATCAAGTAAACCAAATAAGAATAACTTTAAGAAACTCATTTTTCAGTTGAACATTTTTTAATTATTTTTTTCTCTTATTTTTGATTAATTTTTATTGAAACCCAATCTAATCAAATCTGATATCTATAACTTAAAGGTTATTTTAATCTTTGTTTTTTTCCATTAATCACTTCAGTTTTATTCAAGATAAACTATAATGAAAGTCTTAAGTCCTCAAAAAATGGTTATAAATATTTAACATATCACAGCAAGGAATCATTTTCATGTATCAAACTTTGATATTCATCAGGGTGTGGATGTTTTAAGAGATTATCCACATTCACACCCTAACTACATCTTTATGATTATCAAAGAACTTATTACAAGAAGGATGATAATACGGTTGAGTCGTATCCCATTTACCTATGTTATTTCAACATATTTTCCAAAGTAGATTTTAAGAGATGATCATTGAATGAAGATAATTTAATTTTCTAATGATTAATACTCAATGTTGATCATGATTATCATAAATAACTCGAAAAATAGAAGTAATCATCAAAAAAGACTTCTTTTTCTTCTGGATAACAACAATTTAAACTAACGTCATTAAATGGTTTGATATTTTCTAGTCGAGGATCAGCACCGATTATATATGAACCTTGTTCAACACGAAAACATATTGAGCAAAATAAATATATTAAAATCAATTTTTCGATTGAATTTTTATCATTTGAATTTCATTATTTCAAAAAAAATTGTGATCGAAAAATAGGAATTCGAATTGAATGTTTACTTTTTTCTCTAATTGTTGTTCAATATGATGAATAGAAAGAGCCGAAGAAAAATCAAATAGATGTCTAACAGTCGAAGTACTTTATTTAAAATTCGCTGTAGAAATGAATCTCTTGTATATCTTCATTCGAAAACTGCAGGTTCTTCGAGGTTCGAATCCACACTTTCGTGAATCCACAGTTCTCTAGATCGGCAATTGAACAACAGGGTATAATTGTACGTAGGCTTTTTTCTGAGAGTAGCCAAATGACACCTATAATCTTGATCCTTCACATGTTAATGTACCTAGAAGGTGCTAGATATTGGCAAAAAAACTCGGGTCGAAACTCGACCAAGTCTAGAATCACAAAAACGTAGGCCAGCAGCTCCCTAATCTTCATAATACTGTTCAAGATGAATATTCTCATTTGAATTCTTTAATAATATTTAATAGAAGAGAATTATTTTGATATTGTTGTTTGCAGAATGAGAGAAAGAACAATGATTTTTATTCTTATTGACTTCAATTTTAATAAAACAATCGATTAATAATTGTCAATAGAGAAATTGATCAGTCAATTCACCTGTTGATTACTCTTCATCGAAGTCATTTGAATTAATCATATTAATCGATAATGTTTCATTAATTTGATTATTCTTTTTTTTTTATTTTGATCGGATTGATTCCATAAATAAGTTCATCTAAATCAACAAACACAGATTTTATCCTAAAAGATTTTATCGAATTATTTACTTGAAAAAATAATCGAATAGTTAACCCAAGCAGACCTCAAAAAGCTAATGATGGATATGATCAGTGGTCGAAACTTGAAAATACATAGTTTTTCCCATTCTGTCCAAATTTCGAGCCTCTTGTAGGACACCGAATATCAAGTCCTCGGACACATTTTCCCATCACACACTCATTTTCGACTCCACGGACACATTTCGACCGCTCGAAATTCATCGAAATTCTGACTATTCGAACAGAGGAGATTTTTGGAAAAAATTAATTAAAAACATTCAATGAATATTCAAAAGATGTCGAAGTTATATATATTTGATGACGACACGTAGTTTTATCAAAGATTTAAATGTTATGTGTAGTTCATCTGATATATGCAAGCTCCGTAACCGTAAACATATATATGTTTCAATCTTCTCTTCCGTAACAATATATGATAGGTCCAGAGGGTTGAAAAAAATGGAACGCATGAAACAAACATGTTTTGAAAGTTTCATAAAATATCGAGCACTCGGAACATCGATCGCTTGAATCTCGGCTAATTTAATCTATTAGAACCTATCAAAATTCATGAGAGAAAGGTGCGTCGAGGATATCGAACTTCCAGATCGTCCCCTCGGACTACTACTTTTGGATAGATCGAGAGGTCAGCGATGGGTGAACAATTTTGAGTTCGATCGGCCTATCGGCAAACTTAAATCGACACCTCAAAGTACTTATCGAGTCGCAGCTCGGATGATATGTAAGAACGAAAAATTTGTTCCAATCATTAATTTATTTAATTATGTGCGAAAAAATACTACTATTATTAATTGGTTACATATCAATTAAATAAAATGAAACGATAGTTTTGATGAGTTTTTTATCCCAACGTCATGGATTTCTTTGTGTTTTATATTTCATCATAAATATAGGTAGAATAGATTTCTATGAATAATATCTTATCAATGTGAATTAAATGATGTTAAGAGAAAAGTTATTCAATTTATTTCCATTGAAAAGTTTTCATCAAATGAAAAATTCAAAATGATATTTGTTGGATAAATTCATTCAATTCGAAAACTTTCACTTTCTTTTTTTTTCTTCAATGTTTATTATTGATAGATGTAAAATTAATAAATTTTTCTCAAATACAAAAACTATTTGAATTTCATCGAAGTTATCAACATATGTTAAATTAGAAATTACAAATAAAAATTTGTTTTTATTTTTATTAAAATAAATCTATTGTCAACTAATTGATTAATTTAAATGATTAGTTATTTTATTCCATAGCTCACCTTCAATACGTATCATTATTAACTTAATACAGTATATGTGATTATTTAATTCGTCAACATTTCCAATTTGAAAAATTGCTTCCATGAAAAATAAAATTTCTTTTTCATCAGAATTAACACTTTCAATTTTGTGCAAAGGTGTTGATAGAATATCTATATCGATTATCATTTCATATATAACTGATACTTCATTTGGATTTGTTATTTCATCTGATGTGGGTATGCGTGTTACTTTTGGATGAAAGCAGAATACCCACATCCTCGTCGATTATCATCTTTTCAAACTGTGATTTCATACAAATTACATGAGATTGAGCTGGAACTTTGTGGACATAGGGAAGATATCTCTCTCCCATATCACCCTCCATTTTAGCTTCGTTCATTGTCATCTTCCAGAGGTATAACAATTTTACTACATATATGAGATTCACTGTTAGGGCGTTCCGTATGTCCAACGAAATTTAGTTCACTTTACGAGGGAGACCGAAGTTTTTTTTTATATCTACAAAAAGACATTTGGGACTAGCGACTCTTGTGACTCTTTTCTTTTTATTTTCTCCTTTGTGTTGTCTCTTTCAGGGATATATTTAGTCAAAATACTTCATAGAACTGAGAGATTCTATGAAAAAACAGTGAGTTTTGATATTTGAAATGTTTTTATCGTTTACTTGAGACCTTTCTTTAAAAAACAAATCACGATAGTAAAGGGGAAACGACGTACTCGCGCACTCCTGGAATGTAATAGGAGTACACCGAATGTAATATAAAATGGGCTCATTCTAATGAAGAAATGACGTACTTCCTGGACTCCGAAAGTATATTGAAAGTTAAGAGAATATCTCGTTCCTTGTTTTGCACGATAGTCATTAGTCTCAACTGTCTTCTTTCAGAGATAAGAAATTTCAGTCTACTGAGTAAGATGAACTGAATTTAGTTGGAGATACGGAACGTCCGAACAATGAATCTCCTAGATATAGTAAAATTGTTATACCTCTGGAAGATGATGACGAATGAAGCCAAAATGGAGAATGATATGAGAGAGATATCCTCGTTGTGTCCACAAATTTCCAACTCAATCTCATGTAATATGTAGGAAATCACATTTTGATAAGATGATGATCGACGATTTTTGTGCAAAGTCACGCAATTATTACGATGCCAAAAAATGGTTTGATTTGTACACATGTGTTTTTTTGTAAACATCAAATCATTTTATCTTCATTAAATTAATCGTTTGAATGTCTAATACAGCAAGCATTTTTCGAGGTTTTTTGTGACAGTTTTTCATCATTATTATTATTTAAGTTTTTGATTATTTTAATGCCATTTCTCCATTACAAGTTCTATCTGGATAATCGAACATCTCTAAATTCAAATTGTAAGTTCATTCGAGTTTCCTTTTGACAGACTTTCAGAAAAACAAATTTTTATTCTACTGAACTTGATTAGTCAGTATTTGGTGATTTTCTGTATAGTGATCAAAAATTATTCGACTATCTACGTTTAAAAGTTTATTTTTCATCCTATATCTTTTATAGGAAGAAAGCCAAAGAGCTTGGATTTTCTTGAATTCGTAGTTCATGGTCCTTGGTGCAAACAGATTTAGTTTTAATTGACAGTTTCTAATTGTTCATCTTTTATAATAAAAAAAACACAAATCATACAAGTTTTTATCTTTC